AAGGTCTCATGGATTCTTATCCGTGAGACATATCAGGTCAAAATATAAATGTATTAATACCAGAGTATTAATCAAAAATAAATTATTTGTTACTTATAAGAGAAAGTGTAATGCTTTTAAAGAAAAAAATGTAATATTTTTAAATAAAAAGTGTATTGCAATATACTAATATTTACATATTGAAGAGTTATGAGAAAATTTGTAATATTAATCTTGGATAAATTAGTTGATTCGCACTTGGTATCAAAAAAAAAAAAAAAATGATTCGCACTTATGAGAAAAAAATGTAATATTTTTATGAAAAAATGTGATACTTTTGATAAAAATGTAATACTTTTAAATTAAAATGTAATATTAGGAGTTAAAGAGTTACTGATGAGAAAAATGTAATACTTATAAAGAAACATGTAATACTATACATACTCTTATGAAAAACTCGATTCATTTCATAAAAGATTTTCTTAAAAATAACAACAACGGTAACAATAATAACAAACAATTAACAAATAAAATATAAAAAAGATACTACCTTAAAATAGAGTCAACAGAACTAAAAACAATAAAACAAAGAAAATAAAAGGTAGACTGTACTCACCGTGCCAATTTGGTAAGGTGAACCATGCATGACTTTGGCTCCCAAAGGCCGCCTGTCAGTTTGCAAGCATCTCAATTATAGAGATAAACACGGTCTAATATTACATGATAAGAAATGAAGTTTATGGTAATATTTATTCTATTTATAATAAATGAGAAATTTGTATATGAAAAGCATTTAATAATTCTTAGGGTTTACTACATTTCTGATCCTTTGACTATTTTTTTTTTTTTTGTGTAAATTACGGCAAATTATATCATGCACCACGATGCATGATCAATCATGTACCGCGCGTCAGACACTATAGCGTGTCTAAATCGACACTGTCAAAACGACGTCGTTTTATTTAATGAAAAGAAACAGAATCTTCACAAAAAATAACTCTGTTCTTCAGTTTCATTTTGTATACACTGCAGTTTCAGTTCAACACAACTACAGTTTTTCGATATAATTACAGTTTCATTCAATATTTATACACTCAAATATGTGAAAATGTTATTTAATTTTATTTTATATACACTATAATTTCATTAAAACACAACTACATGATCATTTCAATATAATTACAGCTTTATTGTACAATATAGTATATACACTCAAATATGTGAAATGTTATTCAGTTTCATTTTATATATACGGTAGTTTCATTTCACCACAACTACAGTATCATTTTGATATAACTGTAGTTTCATTTGATAATATAAAAATAATACGTGAGACAATGTCGGTATTTCTCTATCCGTTTAACGGTCCAGGGTCCAGGTCCACCCGACTAATCTCCCTTCGCCAAAGGAAATCGTCACTTGTAAGAATCGAACCCGGGTACTTATTACGAATATTTTATTCGGAGCTGATCCAAAGGAAATCATCACTTGTAAGAATCGAACCCGGGTATAGTTCTATTACATTGTAAATGTAATATCTGACTGAGGCTCGAACTTACAACCTTCCAAATGGAAGTCCAATCCGGGTACCATTAGACCACATAGTCCTGGCTCAAAGTGTACGTTTAAAACACCCTTAATTAAATTATACAGTAAGATAAAGTTTTCACTTAAAAATATAATTACTTGGTAACCTTCTACAAAAGATTGAATCTCCAACTCCAAGGACCCCCACACCCCATCCGACATAGCATTTTGGGGGATGTAAATCATGGTGACTCAATGGCTTAATAAACAGAGCCAAATGCCGGTGCACACAAGGAATATGCTCAATTGGCATAATTTCCAGACTGCCGCTGCATGTCGAAGTTCGAATAACCAATGAGCTAAAACCGTGCGGGCAATTAATTACTTGGTAACCTAAGATTAAGGATGAGGGTTGAATATAATTGTTGACATTGAAAATTTGTTAGAGATAATAATATTAAAATGTTTGAATATATTTTGGATAATATTAATATTATCTAACTTGTTTAATAATCTTTTTTTTTGAGTTGGCCTGACGTAAAAAAAATCAACTCTCTCTCTAGAATTCTAGGGTTTTGCATCCTCTCCTAGGGTTTGGCTAGGTTTTTCGCTTCTCCGATCGTTCTCTCCGGCGTTTCTTGCTGGTTTCGACGCTTTTGATATACAAACGAAGGCTGTGCTGGTTTCTTCTTCGACGGAGCAGCATGGCAGATGACGAACAGGCGATGCATGTGGCAGAACTCACGGAACGCACGGCGGAAATTGCTATTGATGACGAAGAAGTCTGCTTCGCGCCTGTGGAGGAGGGGGATACAGGCGGTTCCGAGCCGCCGGTTCAGACTTGGAGTGTTGTCGGCAGGTTCCTAACAACACGCTTGGTTAAATTGGAATATATGAGGCAAGTGTTGGCATCAGTTTGGCAGCCGGTGATGGGGGTTACGGTAACGGAAATACATAAGGGCTTGTTCTTATTTGTTTTCTTCCACAAAACGAATGTTGATTATGTTCTGAATGGTGGCCAGTGGGCGTTTGAAAACAATACGCTGGTGTGCCGCTTGGTTGATGATGGTGTGCTACCGGTAGACGTTGCGTTGAACACTGTTGATATGTGGGTGCAGCTGCATGATGTTCCCATGGGTTATACGTCACAACCAATACTTGAGCAGATGGTGAACTTTATTGGAACCTTTATTAAGCATGATGAAAGATTTACAGGGGCACCTTGGCTAGCGTTCTACCGGATCTGTGTATCGATCCCGGTGGATAAACCATTACGAAGACGAATGAAACTATTGAAACGGGACAAGGCTACTTGTTGGGTTAATTTCAGGTATGAACGGTTGCACTCCTTTTTGTTTCTTTTGTGGGCTTTTGGGGCATACTTATAAATTCTGTGTCAAAGCCCGGGTCTCTAAGGTACCGGTTTATCTTTACCCGTATAGTGCGGAGATGAGGGTTGGGGGAGGCCGTGGTCCGAGGGAGGTGGGGGAGAGCTGGCTGGTTCCAGTGGGGGGACTGCCGAGGGTAGCCGAGGGGGTACGGGATGAGGGAGTTCGGAGGGGCGGTGAGTTGGGGGAGGGTACGGCTCGAGTGGTGCCGGTTGTAGTAGATGAGGCCGAACTGGCGGTTGGGGCGGTTTCGAAAAGAAGAAGGGAAGGGGGTATGAGGGAGAAAGGCGGGAAAATGGGGAGGACATTACCATGTCAGATGTGTCAAAAAACTTGTACATGGCGGGAGCTGCAGAGCAGTCCCGCCCATCATTATGAGTACGTTATGCTAGAACTGTCGTGGCTTGGGCAATCCACGAACAGTTCGGGAGGTGGTGGAAATGGTGTCCAGTAAGAAGTCGGACTTTGTATTTCTGATTGAGACAATGATGAAAGGGGATCATGCGGAAAGGTTGCGAGTTAAGTTGGGTTTTGAGGGGGTTTTCTATGTAAATCCGGATCGAAGACGAGGTGGTTTGGCGTTATTGTGGAGGGCTAATAACACTGCTAGGTTAATTAGCTACTCCAAAAATCATGTGGATGTGGAGGTGACGGTGGATGATAGGCACCATGGCGTATGACTTGCAACTATGGGTACCCTCAAAGATCTAGAAGGCGTGAATCATGGGCTTTGTTGAAGAGATTAGCAACACAATCCTCGTTGCCATGGGTTGTGATTGGTGATTTCAATGATCTGCTATTCCAGTCTGAGAAGCGTGGGCGTGTCCCACATCCGGAGAGATTATTGTGTGGTTTTGGGGAGACGCTGGATTCCTGTGGATTGATATAGCTGCCTATGGAGGGATATCCGTACACATGGGAGAAGGGGGAGGGTACGGAGGACTGGGTTGAGGAGAGGCTGGATAGAGTGGTAGCGACAATGGAGTGGCGTGAGTTGTTAGTGGAAGCCAAGACTGTTAATATTCTTACACGTAAGTCGGATCATTCAGCCATTTTTCTGAGTATCTCTAGTCCATCTGACTGTAGGGTGAATGGCCGACGTGCTTTCCGTTTTGAAATGGCTTGGTTGCTCGACTCGGGTTGCCGAGGAGTGGTGGAGCATGCGTGGTATGATGCTCAGGGGGAGGGGTTGTTGGGTACTTTGCAGTTATGCAAAGATCGTTTGCAGGCTTGGGGAGGTGACCGCTTCCATATGTTTGGAAAACAGATAAAATTGTTACATGGCAAGTTAATGAGGCTAAAAGGGAGTAGGGGTCACGTGGTCTTGGAGGAATATAATACAATCCAAGCGGAACTGGCTCGACTGGAGGCACAGGAGGATATATATTGGCGACAGAGGGCAAAGCAGCATTGGTTACGAGGGGCGGATGCCAACACCAAGTTCTATCATAGGTATGCCTCTTCTCGTAAGCGTAAAAATTCACTGTCTAAACTTAAAGGGGTGGATGGTAGTTGGGTGTCTAAGGGTGCAATGAATACAGTTATTATTGAATATTTTGCTGAAATCTTTAAATCATCAAATATCCCAGCCCATAGTGATTTCTTTTGTACGATACTCCCCCGTGTATCTGAGGTGCAAAATGAATCCTTATTGAAGCCATTTGTGGCTGAGGAGGTGAAGGAGGCTTTGTTTGCTATGTTCCCAGATAAGGCACCTGGGTCGGATGGGATGAATCCTGGTTTCTATCAGCACTTCTGGGGTGTTGTGGGGCCTGAAGTGACTGAATTTGTGCTTAGCTGTCTAAATGGGGGTGTGTTCCCGGAGGGGTTAAATGAATCTAATGTTGTCTTAATCCCGAAAAAGAAGGTCCCTGAGTATCCAACGGATCTGAGGCCAATTGCTTTAAGTAATGTGGTTTACAAAATTATGGCCAAGATGATTGCAAATAGGATGAAGCCTTTTATGGATTCTATTATTTCAGATTCACAAAGTGCGTTCATCCCGGATAGGTTGATAACTGATAATATCTTAATTGCTGCTGAGGTTGGACATTACCTGAATAGAAAACAATGTGGTAAGTAGGTTGGGGGGCGTTAAAACTGGATATGGCGAAAACCTATGATAAAATGGAATGGGTTTTCCTGAGGCAGATGATGAAAGCCCTGGGTTTTGCGGAACAGTGGGTGAATTTGATTATGATGTGTGTTACGACTGTTTCGTATAACATTCTTATTAATGGTACAGTTGGAGGAGTAGTGGTACCAACAAGGGGTCTCAGACAGGGAGATCCCCTATCCCCTTATCTTTTTATCATTGTGCAGAGGGCCTATCTTTAATGTTGCAGCAGACACAGGCTTTGGGAGCTATTCATGGTTGTAGAGTTGCACGTGGTGCCCCGCCTATTTCACATTTGTTTTTTTGCGGATGATAGCCTATTATTCTTTAAAGCAAATGTACAGGAAGCGAGTGCAGTGAAACAGTGTTTGGAGCATTATGAAAAACTGTCTGGTCAGTCTATTAATTTTCATAAATCCAGTATTTGCTTCAGTAAGAATACAGGTGAGGAGGTAAGGGAGGAGGTGAGTGCGCTGTTGGGGGTTGCCCAGGCAGTAGACTTTGGGAAGTATTTGGGATTGCCCTCTTTTGTTGGACGGAATAAGAGACAAGTATTTGCATATATAGAGGAAAAAATCCAACAACGGATAGGTTCTTGGAATAAGAAGTTGCTGTCCCAAGCAGGAAAATAGATACTATTGAAAACGGTAGCTCAATCTATGCCTACTTTTTCAATGAGTGTCTTTTTGTTAACTGATTCCCTCTGTATGGCAATACAGAGAACTATGAACAGGTATTATTGGAATAAGGGTGGTGCAGGTGGTATACATTGGATGGCTTGGGACCGTCTCAGTAAGCCAAAAACAGCTGGGGGCCTAGGCTTTAAGGATCTGAGAGCATTTAATCTTGCAATGTTGGGTAAGCAAGGTTGGCGTTTTCTTACAAAGCCAGAATCATTGGTTGCAAAAGTGTACAAGGCAAGGTATTTTCCTAAAACTGATTTTAAAAATGCTGCCATAGGAAATAACCCTAGCTATTGTTGGAGAAGCATAATGGCTGCACATAGTCTTGTATGTGGGGGAGTAAGGAGGAGGATTGGGAATGAATCAAAGGTGTCAGGTTTGATGGATCAGGATACTCATGCCTGGGATCTGGATATTCTACATGATATTTTTGACCCACAGGATGCGAACCGTATCCGTAGGGTGCCAATCTGTCCGGATTATGAGGATACTTGGTACTGGTATAAGGAGCATAATGGATTGTATTCTGTTAAAAGTGCACATCGTCAGATTGTAGGGGAGATACAGAATACTACGACTTTTGAAAAATGGCCAGCTTTATGGAAGTTAGATGTGCCCCCTAGGTGGAAAACGTTCCTTTGGAGAGCGTTGAGTGGTGTGTTGCCAACCACAACAGCACTTGTTAGTAGGAGGGTTGATGTAGATCTAGCTTGTCCCATGTGTCTTGATTTTAATGAGGATGTTATGCATTGTTTGATAGAGTGTCAATATGCATGCCATGTCTGGGATGAGTCTAGTCTTATTATTTCTTCTGTGCATGGTGGATCTTTTGTTGAATGGTTTCAGAACGCGATGATTGTGTTAACCATGGATGTTCTTATTCAAGTTGTTGCAGTCCTGTACCATCTATGGAATGCTCGAAACTCTGTGGTATGGGAGGCATATATGAAGATGCCCAAGCATGTGTGGTTGGCTGCCAAACCAGCCCTCTCGACATGGAGGCAGTCACGCCCAACAGCAGCGCCTCGGCAGCAGCAAGAACAATCGGCGCCCTCTGGCTTGCAGTGTCATGTAGACGCAGCTTGGTCCCCATCGACATGGGTTGCGGCGTTTGGCGCGATTCTCCTCAACGATCAAGGTGGCTTTGTAGCAGCTATGAATGGACGGTTGCCGTTATGTGAGAATGCTATCACGGCAGAAGCACTGGCTTGTAAGGAGGCTTTATCATGGTTAAGGGACCGCCAGATTACTTCAGTAACTCTATCCACGGATTGTTCGGAGTTGAAGTCCTATCTTTCTACAGTTGATTTTCATCATAGATCGTATGTTAGTATTATTGTCTGTGAGTGTCAGGCCATCATGGCTCAGTTTACTACATGTTATTTACAGCTTATTCCTAGACGTTTAAATATCGTTGCTCATACTTTAGCATCTAGGGTCACTGACCAGGGTATTACTATGTTATGGGATGGTGACCCTCCTGATTTCATTATTTCGCATATTCATTAATAATATTCGAATTTACAGCTTTCAAAAAATCTAACTTGTTTAATTACATAATATCAAAAGAGTTTGAACTTATCAAAACTCTTCTATCCTACAACTATAAATATGAACTCTTATTTCTATATATATATATATATATATATATATATATATATATATATATATATATATATATATATATATATATATATATATATATATATGTATGTATTCATCCTAGTAAAAATGATGTAAACATCTAAAAATATTATTCAGAGACCACAATACAATGATCCTGAAAATAAAAGTCTCCTCCATGAATATCATGCCAATCAAGTTGATCCAAACCGCCATTTGAACCCGGAGGCCCTTCAACGAAGAACAAACATATAGATCAAGCCACTTGAATTCCGGAGTCCCTTCAGTGGTGAGTGTTCAAGGCATCCAATTGAAGAATCAGAGCACCATCTAGAGATCTTGTACCCATACCGCATTGATACTCGTTGTAATTAGAATTTTGAATTTCAATATATATAATTCAATTTTCTTTGTTCACAAATTGGCACTGTAACACCCCGTGTTATGACCTCCAAATTTGGATTAAGTATGAAATTAATTCCGCTAAAATATAATTGAAAATGATTTAATTGGGCTAGAATTAATTAAGTGTGGTCCACAATGGATTATGGACCCTTATCCTTAATCAATCCTTTAATCCGTTAGGAATAGGAAAAGTGGGTCTTTACTATTAAGATTTTAGCTAAGACTCCTGAATCTATATATATGGGATTAGAAAGCATTTAGAAACCCTGCCACGATTAATTCTACCACGCGAGACATTCCCGAGGAAACCTAGCAAAGGAATTCCCCGCCACCGAACCTAGAAAGATCAATTGGAGGAGGATCTTAGGGAAGAACCTTAGTAGCCAAGGATATTGATTAGGGCTAAGAGGTAACCCATGTCTTACAAAACCTATTTTCCTTGCTATTGTCTATTGATTGGCTCCGATTGAATGATTGATTGTGTGATTTGTATGTATATCTTGTTAGAGCTTGGCTTTAGGTTTATATGGTAAATTATTGCTATTCTTGATGGCCCTGTGTGGTTATTGATATGATCTTGTATTTAATTAAGTTTAGAGCTTGTCCTTAGGGTTTATATCGTGAATCTCGTATTGTGATGTTCTTGGCATTCTTGGGTGGGTTTATGCATGCTCGGGTGTTGATTCTAGTCTAGGACTTGTCTTTAGGACTTTGCATATAGATTTCTTGATGTTCTTGAGGTTCCGGATACTCCTGAACCGTTATGTGATTGATGTCGAGTGTTGGCATGTTTAGAAATCGTGTTAGAATGTAATTGGAATGGTTCATGGTTCAATCTTTGTTAATCGAATCCGTGTTGGAATGTGTTTGGACATGGTTTTGGGTTCTATGAACGAACCCCGAACCGGATTATTACCCTCGTACCAGTGGGGGGTAGGTGGGGGAACGAATCCCCACCACCTACCCGCGGCCGGACTGCCAAGTTCCAGCGAGCAGCCGCTGGAATGTGGCCGCCCCACCGGCGGGTGGTCCACCACCCACCGCCCACCCGCTGGAACGGGGTGGCACGGCGGGTCGTTTTTCCCCGTGTCCCGTTGTACCCCGTTTGGTGTTTATGAGTCTCGTATGATGTTTTTAGTACTGTTCTAGGAATTTATGTGTAGTGCGTATCATTGCTTTTATACCTTGATTGTTATTTTTAATTATATGTTGTTTAATTGAATGATGATGAGTATTGTGATCATTGCGCAATGATGGTTGAGATTGTGATTGGTGGAAATGAATTGTTGGCGGATAGCACAACGAGTGCTCGATTATCGTGCTAAAGGCACGGACCACCCCTTAGACTTGCTGGCTAAAGGCTTGGGTCAGGATATAAGCGCTGCGGTGTCATGTCAGAGCTATATGCGCTGACCCCTTGGTAGTGGTGCTAGAGGCACGGACCATGCGAATGACACTTCGGTGCCATGTTGGTGGTTACGGAGTGGAGCATGTAGTTGCTCCGGAGGAATATGTGAGGCGATATAAGGGTGGTCTGGAGGTACAGGTTGGAACTGATATAAGGATGGAGAGGAGTAAAGGTTGGAACTTGGTATAAGGTTGGAAGATGGATTGTGTGTTCTAATGATTGCTTGCTAATTGATTGTTATTGGATCCCATTGTTTGCCTTTTATTGTTATTTATGCGCTTGCCTATTTATTTTTCCTTGCAAACATAGGACGCATGTTAGTGGTATTCATGATGGCGTTCCGTTGTTACCTTCTGTGTCTTGATCCTGATTTGAAAGCTAGTGTTGCTTAAGACTATATATGTATTCCAGTTTCAAAATGATTTCCTATATTTATATTTATTGTACTTAACGTGTGGGAGTGGGTTACTTAGCATCATTCGCTGACGGTTGCTATACCATATGTTTTATAGGTGATGACCATTAGCTACGGAGCGCGCTAGCCAGACCCGAAGACTTAGCTTAGTTAGCTCTATCTTTAGTTGATGGCCTGCGTGCCGTGGATTATATTTGAATATTGACTTATGGATTACACATGTTTGGATAGTTTGTCTATGTACCTAAGTTCTCAAACCTAGGTGTGGCATAACACCCCGATTCATATGGATAGTTTATGTTCTGTTTAGATTATTATTATTAGCAGCCTTTATTTTATAAGTTTTTAAGTGTTTTAAAAATTAAGGGTGTTACAGGCACACCCAATGGGACAGCTCTGCCTCTCATCTCTTCATAGGTACTTTCAACCGCGATATGGGGGCAAACCCTGTGTGAAATTTGAAATGGAGGAAGCTAAATGATACTCTTTGGTATGAGTTGAAACGGCCTCATATCCTTCAAGATACTCCTTCGCACGAGTTGAAACAGCCTTATATATACCTTTAATTATAATGTCGAGACTTCCTTGCACTACATACTCTCAAGCGGTATATACTCTCAAGTGGTGTACAAGAAGTCTCGAAGGGCATTTGTTGACATTGAAAATTTGTTAAAGATAATATTAAAATATTTGAATATATTTTGGATAATATTGATATTATCTAATTTGTTTAATTAGATAATATCAAAAGAGTTTGAACCTATCAAAACTCTTGTATCCTACAGCTATAAATATGAGCTCTCATTTCTATATATTCCTCCTATGAAAAATGATGTAAACATATGAAAATATTATTAAGAGATCACAATAAAATGATCTTGAAAGTAAAAGCCCTTGAAGATCAAGACATTTGAACCCGGAGGCCCTTCAACGAAGAACAAACATATAAGCTCTTCTTTGAAGATCAAACCCCTCAAATTCCAGAGGCCCTTTAGTGATGGAGTGTTTAAGGCATCCGATTGAAGAATCAGAGGACCATTCAGAGATCTTGTACCCATATCGCATTGATACTCGTTGTAACTAGAATTTTGAATTTCAATATATATATATATATATATATATATATATATATATATATATATATATATATATATACACATATATAATTCAATTTTCTTTGTTTATAATAATGATATGATACACATAGAAGCTGCAATCAAATTAAACGTGATGGATGACTAAGATGGATCGATGTGAAGTGAAGTTTACGTATAAGGATAAACAAGATAATATTAAAGCATATGTTATAGGCTTATAGGTAATGGATAATTGTGTAATAATGGAGATGTCTATTTATATGATAATGCATGTTTACTTGTAATAATGCTATGATAGATAGGGGTGTTATGATAGTGACAAATTATTGTGTGGATTATAATTAACACAGTGTGTGTGAATCATAATAAAATGTATATTTTTAATATATTAAAAATATATTATTCGTGTATTGAATGTATATTAAATAAAATAATGTATTTTAAGTACTCAAATAATATATTATTCTTAAATATAATGTATATTATTAACATATTAAAAATACATTATTGTATATTGAATATTATTTGATAATATGATTCACACAATAATAACCATATGGTAGGTCTACTTGCTCCGCGGCGAGCTGGAAATTTGTAGGTCTTCAATTTCCTGAGTTGATTTTAATTGAGTTGAAAAGCCAGTTTGCTGCAGGTTAATTTTAAAATATAAAATATAAAAAGAAAAAGAAGAATACTCTATAATGTATTATGTCTTATTTAATATATATAAATAGGAAAAAGTATATAAATTTAATTTATACACGCTATATTTTAATGAATAAGTTTTTTTTACTCATATTCATAACTTTAATCATTTTTAGATGAAATGTTTTATTAATTTATAGCATATATTATATAAAATGAATAATAATACTTTTTCCATCCCATTTATTTGTCATGTCCAATAATGTTTATTATTCATTAATCAAATTAATTTTTTCTTTGTTTATTTTTTATTTTTAAACTTGATTTTTTTGTGTTTAATACTCCGGTATATAGTACTTTTAATATTGTTTTTAAATATTTAAATTTTATAAACTAATAATTAATTTAATATTATTAAAATTAAATTGTAAATCATTTTAATCAAGTATTGTTAATCAAATCGGATACATAAAATGGGATAAAGAGAGTACATAATATAATTTACAAAGTATATGATTGTTTGTTGGTGGTGTATAAGTCGATACACAAAATGTAATTTAATTTAGAAAATTAATTTCAACCAAAGTTTTGGTACGAAATCAAAATAATAAGAGATTTAATTTATAAAAAATTAATCTCACCAAACTTGGTATGAAACCAATAAATATTTATATAATATATATAAATAACAAAAAGAGGGCTTTAGAAACCTGAAGTTTAAACCGAACGAGAAATTCGAGTCGCGTGTTCTCACACTTTCTTTAAAATCAATTAGCTACCTCCCAAGGGTGCTAGGAGAGTTGTAGTGCCAGTCTCTCAAGATAAAACGGATTACTATATGACTTTAGTGTTTGAGCACTCAAACATAAAGTCCGACGAACTAGAACGAAGATCATTTAACAGCATTAAACCATGA